GGCACACAAACAGAGAGCCCGCTTTCAGCTCCTGTTCCAGGGACGAGCCATTTATGCTCACCACTGCTGAAGAAAAAAATAATTTTGACTTCTTTCTTAGCGATTTACACTGCATGGCTCAGCTGCGAGCCCAACACAAGAAGAGATTTTGAAACAGGACAAAGCGAATTGTGCTTGGCAATCCCAGAGCACAAAGACAGGTTGGGCGATGAGTGGGGTGAGAGCAGCCCTGCAGAGAAGGACTTGGGGGTGTCTGTGGATGAAAAACTGAATACGAGCCAGCAATGTGCGCTCATTGCCCAGAAGGCAAATTGCATCCTGAGCTGCATCGAAAGAAGCGTGGCCAGCAGGCCAAGGGGGGTGATTAGTGGAGAGTGATAGGATGAGGGGAAATGGATTTAAATTGCGTCAAGGGAGGTTCAGGTTGGATACTAGGTAGAATTTCTGTACTGAACGTGTTGTCAGCTGATGGAACACACTGCCCAGGGAGGGGATTGAGTCATCGTCCCTGGAGGGGTTTAAGAGACGGGTGGGTGTTGCATTGGGGGAATCGTTTAGTGGGTTGATAGGGCTGGGACAAAGGCAGGGCTCGGTAGGTCTCTTCCAGATGAAACTATTCTATGATTCTATGATTCTAACCCTCTGCACTCCTGAGGCCCCACCAGCAGGGCTGCACCCAGCTCTGGCACCCTCAGCTTAAGACAGACATGGACCTACTCAGGTGGGTCTACAGGAGGGCCCTGAAGATGATCAGGGGGCTGGAGCACTTTTATGAAGAAAGGCTGAGAGAGTTGGGGTTGTTCAGCCTGGAGAAAAGAAGGCTCCAGGGAGACCTGATAGCTGCCTCCCAGTACTCAAAGGACGGGGAGGGACCCTTTATCAGAGAGTGCAGTGAGGGACGAGGGGTAATGGTTTCAGATGGAGAGTAGGTTCAGACTAGACATTGGGAGTAAATTCTTTTCAGTAAGGGTGGCGAGGCACTGGAGCAGGTTGCCCAAGGAGGTCATGGATGCTCCCTCCTTGGAAGTGTTCAAGGTCAGGTCGGACGGGGCTTTGAGCAACCTAGTCTATGGAAGGTGCCCCTGCCCCATGGCAGGGGGGTTGGAACTAGATGATCTTTAAGGTCCCTTCCAACAGAAACCAGTCTACGATTCTCTGAATTTCTAAATGCCTGGCATATGGAATCCACCCAAGCGGGGCTGGCACACACAGACTTATTTCAGTGCATAGCACTTAAAGTAAAAACACATATTGCCATAATCACATGTAAAAGAGATTTCCTTTTTTCATTAGCATAATTAACAACAAAAAACTGTTCTGAAGATGAAATTAACATTTGGAAATGTATCCACTTTTGTTCCTGTTGATTTTCTAGACAGCACATAGTACTTTAACTATAATTAGTGAATGTAATAAAATCACTTCAGCATCCAACTGAGGGTTATTAAAGCTGTACGTATTACTTAGGGGCCTGATCCTTGTCCCACTCATTTAAACACAATGTTCCTGTTGGCTGTGGGTACCGAAATAATCATCCTACCAACATCACAGAGAGGTGTGTTTGTAAAATACTGTGAATCAACTAGACAGAAGGTTCCACCACGTTACGGACTGTGCAACTGTGGTCCCACAGACTTTGCACATTCAATTAAATATAAAAAATAATTTTAAAAAAAGTGCCGTCGTCAGATAACAGAAGTTCAAATACTCCACGCAAAATAATTCCTCACAATTTACCACTAAATTGACAAGACTGATAGTAAATAATCTTTGTTTATTATCAAATGCAACTATTTATTTTCATTCGTGGCATCTATTGATGAGCCAATACTATCAACAATAGCCCATTAATTAGAATAAATGCAACTATCTAGTTCTGCATTTACAGACTGCAACTATGTTGCCATAAGGATAGAAATATCTCCAGACTGGAGATGAACAGAATCTATACAAACACACATGGACTAATTACTCAGAATTTATGTTTGTGTTCAGAATTGGCTGGAGCCCAGATGAAATTGATTTTCATGGGCTTTGCTCCCCATGTCCCTTATTTGTAGGTATAAGGTAGGTTTTCCATTCTTATTTCATCCTTAATGGGTTGAACACGTTTGGATTCCTTGAGACATAAGCAATTAAATGCAAGCCAGTGCGAACTTTTTGGGGCATGAAAATACTCCACAATTTTATCATTGGATCGATCTGAAACGGACACTTCAGAAACAGCTACTCCTTTACACCATGCAAGCGTACGTGAGAACTAGAGGCCAATTTTGAAAGTCTTTTCTCAAAGTGAATTCACAGGTTTGCAAAAAGGAGTCCCATATGGCGAAAACACTGCGGGACTGGCTTAAGAAGTTTCAGTGCAATTAAATTAAGACCTAGCATGCAATCAGGGAAATCACAGGTTGTGGCAGCCATTTAATTTGCACTACGGTGAAAGTAGAATGGTAAAGAGATCAAGCTGTGGGTGGAAGAAAAATCAAAAGTGAACGAGGGAGGGGAAGAGTAATGCACAGATGCTTTAAAATTACTTTTCCGTACTTTTTCCCCCCGCTAAATACTTTTTATCTGTCTTGGACTATTAAGTGTTTTCTACTTTTAAAGTTTAAACAATTTTATCTTTTGCTTTCCTTCCGTTCACAGAAGGTTTTGGTATTGTTACATTTTTTCTTTCAATTTAAGGAGTCTTCACAGAAGGTCAGAAAACCAGCACTTTTCTCATCCCCAGAATGCCAAAATCTTTCCAGTTTTCTATCTCTGCAGCTTTCCCTTTTTCAAGGAGCAAATCTCCGTGTTTTCCAAGTAGCAATACACAAAACTGCAGCTTTCATCACGAATACATAGCTGCATGTTCCAACTTCTAAAAGCTCTGAAAGTTCTCTAAAATAAAAGGCAATATTCTCCATAGTCATGCTGCACAGTGTAGCTTCCTAGCTGCTTTGTATTATTCATCTCCAATCTCTACCTCTCCTGCCAAACTGAAGATGAACCAGAGCATTAGATTTTATAACTACTGTGAGATTTCCAAAAATATTTTGCATCATTAGGAGCCTGAGTGAGCCATATGGTTTTTATTTTGGTACAACCATGCAGCATTCTGCGGTCTCAGAGCATTTGTCAGGAGGTAAATTCAGCAGAAAAATATCCAATTTCATACTTTTAAGCCTGGGGTAGATACAGGTATTCCCACCAAGATGCTCTTGTTTAGTGTCCTACCCTACAGAGGGGATGGATGGATTCCTAAAAAAGAACTTCTCCAGCCACCAGGTATTTTAGTTACTCCCATGCATCACTATAAAGGAACTGGAACTGACCTCAACATGCACAGCTTTTACTTCTCCTTGTGAAGTCAGAAGGAACTTCCCAAGCTTGTGTCAAGTTCTACTCTGCAACAGTTTTTTGTCCTTTTGCACAACTTTCTGTTAAAAGGAGGTGACCTACTACTCCATATTCAACCCGCCTCTTTGGAAAACAAAAAGCTGTGCAAATGCGTAAAGTTTTAATTTTCATATATTTAGAACAGAAACCGTTGGTAAGTTACGGAGCTAAATATCTGCTGCCAACCAGCTTATACTAACCACAAGTACAATTAGTGAATAATCGTATGGTTTTAAGCCTCCTCCCTAACTTTGCTATAACCAGCTGAGCCATTTGAAAATTTCTTTCATTACACTGCAACATTTGAAGATCTCAACAGTGTATCGACGGGCTGTGAGCTCAACACAGCCCATCTGCATTAAAACAAAGGGAACATCCCATGATGTTGGAGCATGGAAGTGCCTGCAGAACTGGAGTCAGGCTTATCAATTACTCAGTTTTCCTGCATCTGTTTTTTTCAGCTCTTCTCTTGCACTAGATCCTGTTATCAGATTGAAATAAGGGAACATTTCCATTTCATTATTGCCTCTAAATTTGCTCTTTATTTAACCTTTCTCTTACTGTAAGTCACTCATTGTGAAGACTTTCATCAGAAACCTTTGCAAGTTTTTGGTGTGCATCCACCTACTTAGTCTGCCACTGATAATTCGGACAAGCCACACATAATGCTAACGTACCACTACACTGACTGCATTCTTCTTTAAATTTGTCATTTCTTTCAAATTCTTGCACTAAAAAGAAGGCGTCCAACATTATTCCAGGCATATTATCCAGAAGAACAGTTCCTGGAGTAGTGTTGAAAGTCCACTCGATAGCTGCTGGCTGCTGATGTCGTATCGATCACACAGAAGCAGGAAGCAGAATACACTTACTTGCAAGTCATTACAGATACCAGAGGCTAATTCTCTGGTAATACAATCCTCCAGCATGAAGAACTATCAACTGTAGCTACAGTCCCTTTTACAAGCAACAATAGACCTAGTGGAAATACAATCCCACGCAACCTCTCATGCCTTTCAGCTTTCCAAGTGCACTAGAGCATAGCTGAACAGAAATAACAACTACCTCCACCATCGGTACGAACAGAACGAACAGGGTTAGATACCAAGGCAGCAGTCTTCGCAAAAAGATGCAGCAAATAAAAAGTGCACCACATAGCTGAAAATCATCAGTTTATGAAATCACTTACTGGGGCAAAATTTTCAGCTGTTTTATTCACAAGCTCAGCAGAAGCATCCTATGTAATACTTAAACTTTCTAAGTCACACTTCTCTTTTCTGGGAAATATCTTTGGCCCCAGTGAAAAAAAGCGTCATTTGCTACTTGATTTCCACTCGGGCACCCATAGGCTTTTTCCTGGAGCCACTGATACCAATGGAAAGGCCCCTGATTTCTGCAGAAAACAGGAGGAAGCAACTCCAAACAAACTTTGCAAGATTAAGGCCCTCCAGCTCCCTTAAAACTCTGAGTTAGTCAGTGAAACGCCGCAGATTTCAAGCTAGGAGAAAATTAATACTTTGCGTGCTAGGGAAGTTTTGCTGATAAATTAGTCTTGTCGAAATAAAAAAAAAAAAGGCGAAAGATGAAAAATAATACAAAGGAGAAAGTAAGTAATTAAAGGCTTAAAACAGTGCAGTTGAAGTCAAACATTAAAACAAGAGATGGATGATTTACCTAGTTCACTGTCCAGTTCCTCCGTGTGTACCCCTTCTTCTCCAAGTGAAGAGCAGTAAATGAGACAGAAAAAATTAAAAGAAAATTTCAGATACCAGCACCAAGAAAGAAATTCCCTACAGCAAACAGCAGAACCGGCACTAATTTTCTACAGACCGAGCCCAAGCTTTCCATTTATCGCACTTTAGTGATCAGAATATTGATGGATCTGATGTAGATAATGAAAAAAAAATGGCTCTTGCATGCTCAAAGTATCTGTATCAACTGACTACTTCCACGCCAGAGTTGGATAAGGGGAAGTAATAATTTGCGTTGTTCTCACTGCGGCGAAGCTTCTCCCTCAGATCCGTCCGGTCCGACCTTCGCAATCCGTTCCGTAGACACACGGATCTCTCAGAAGGCCGGACCTGAATACTAACGAAGAAATCCGAGAGACAAACTTTGCATCTATGTAAGAACTAATGTAGCAAGGTTTCTAAGCAAGCACTTAAATTTATGTGCGTACAAGGTCCAATTGACTTCTCTGTAACCACTCAGCTGATTTAAGATCGAGATGAAGCCAAGCGCCTTGTTTAAGAGGAGGCACAAGCCCCCAGCGAAGTCCAGACGTGCTGGTGATACGGGAATGCCCCACTTTTAGTGGGGCACCAAAGATCACGTAATTTTTCAAAGACACAAAGCCATCAATATTCACTGTTGCTCCATTTATCATTATCTGCTCCATATTCATAAGTTAACAGTGACACAGATGATTAAAGTATTGCTTAGCCTATAAATAATGATAATGCAGTCTGAAAATGGAAGATGATGACAAAACCAGAACAAAAACGGTAAAAACAATCTTGGGCCTAATACTAAGCCACATAAACGAGTGACAGAAGCAAAAAGATGATGTCGTGTCACAGCATCGACTCTGAAAATTTGGACACCTAAGAAAACACTTCCACAGCCTGTTTGCAATATAGTCTACCAAACCAGTTGTTTAGGACCATTAGCGTGAAATATGAATTGCAATTTCCTTTGAGAGCCTAAACAACCAGAAACAACCCAAACTTGTTAGGGACACGTATCCTGACGAAATTTAAAAAAAAAAAAAAAAAAGACAACTACACCCAAACAAATCCGAAACAACAGCTAACATTCATAAAAACCACAAACAGGATGCGACCAAGCCTGGAGTGCACATACGTCCCCCAAAACAAAACAGAGGAGACCCACTGACTCCAGTGCAAATGCACCCAGCAGGGACCCTTTTACGCTTCTATAATGCAGTAAAAATAACCTTCTCTCTTCCTTGTGCTCGCATTGTTTTCGGAAATATAAACAGAGAATCGTAATTATTCTTATGTCCAAAGCAAGATTAGAGCAACCAAGCAAAACAGTGCAGTGCACTGCTGTACCTGTGAAGCAGCTGGCTGAACTACCGAATGTTCAAAATATTCATTAATGAGCAACTTAGTGAATGAAGTGGAGTGGGGGAAGATGAAATTAGCTGATTTTAAGGGCTTGATAAACAAAAATGCCACCACTCTGCAAAATTATGAACTTCATTAAATGTGACAAAAATATAATCAAAAAACAGCTCTATGTTTCTAGTCCCAATAAAATAAATTACGCTAGTGTTCGTCTTCTAATTGCTAAGAGGACAAGAGAAAGACTTTGCCTTCTGCGGGGAGACTTAAAACTGTTGAATGGAGGGGAGCTCAGCCACCGTCATTGACTCAGCCTACCAGCTGCTCCTCGCCCACCATGGGGCACGCTGACCCATGGCAGCATGTGCTGCCTGCGGGCTTCACCAGGGCAGTGGACACAGTGGAAGCCTTGCTGGTAGAGCAAGCCAGGACAGAAGTTGTGCTTTTGAGGAAAACTACCCTCTGAAAGAGGAAAGCTTATGCTGAGGCTTAGCAAGCTCCTCTTCAAACTGCCAGCAACGCTTAACTGCAAGGAGGAGGCAGCTTTGCCTGCATACGCTGTTATTTAATTTTGTTCCCATGCTGATTACCCACTGACATATCCATTTTTAGGTGCAGAGCAAAGCCTTCATTATCCCAGCTCCCTCTCTTCGCTTCTTGACAGAAGATGCCAGTTGCTAAGGATCTGGAGCAGGCATCAGCTCGGTGCTCTCAGTTTTCGCCTGGGGTTTGGGGGTGCGCTGCGCTCTAGGAAGCTGGTGACCTGCTCCATCCCGGCAGCAAAGGCAAATTCTCGCACCCTGCAAAATCTTTCACATGCGGAAGGAAGCAGAGGTTGAAAAACTGCATGTGCAAAAATAGCAGCAGCAGTTCTGGAGGCCAGATTTGAATCCACCAGTAAAAAGGGATTCAGCTGATTTCTTTCCAACATGAAATCATAGTTTTTATTGAGCTGACTCACACCAGTAGGAGGCTAATCATTATGAAAACTAATTTGACAAGGAAAGCACCAACACTGACAAAGTAAACCCTTCCTGTTTTAAGATACGTCTACCATGACAGCCTTGTGTTAGCCAAAATTATGCATTAGAATACCATCACCTTTCCTGGTCAATAGACTAGAATTTCCACACAGGTTTTCCCAAACATTTAAGTTATTCTCATCATGATTCCCTTTCCATTCCAGCATCTCCTAAAGGATGCAGGGGAAGAACCTCCTTTAACAGTCCTGCATTTGGCTGCTCTAAATTGGACAGTGGCTTGCATTTTCAACATCTCAAGGAATACAAAATTACATCGGCGTAATTTTTCAGTGGCAAAAATCTACACTTTCGAAACGGAATTTCTTTTCAGCAATCGTAACGCTAAGTGGACTGTCAGAATTTAACAGGAGAAGTGAAGCAATTGAGTTATCTCTGCTCCAAGAAGGAAATAACAACATAACTCTTTCAATTCATGTAAAGCAGGTGGTTGAAGTGTAACACAATGGAGCACGTAGAAACTCAGCCGTTTTCCTCCTACACAGCGATCCAAGCAGCAAACATGTTAGAAAGCTTCAAGTCTTGTTCAGCATCAGCGACTATTCCAATGCCTTTCCAAAAACACTTCTGGCACCTCAGTGATTTTTGCTAAGTGATCTGCCATCTCCATGGCTATTTTACATACACAGACAGTGATCTTACACCACTTACTGATAAACTTTTTTCTTTTTTACTATTTCTGTATACAGGTTATTGGAAAGGGGGAAGGGAAGCAAACCACCTAGAAATGGACCAATCAAATTATTGTTTCACTATTCTCAGTCTCTTACCATCATCTTCACATTCTTCTAGAGGCTTCTGCTGTTTGTTCAGGCACCGTGGATCTAGCCAAGATGTTGTTTTTGTATTATGGCTGGAAACCAAAAATGGAAATATGACCTTTGTTAATAAAGCAGAGCTGAAGTATCAGTGACATAAAAGTATACATCTTCTTTATTATTCAACAGACCTGAAGGCATACTTTTGATTCAGAAGAAATGGCACTACAATTTGATGTTTTGAAAACTAGTCTACCAAAAATCACAAGAACCTTGTGATTGAAAACACAAAGGTGAAAAGCGAAAATATACAAATCAGCATTCCTGACTGGAAGGATGCATGTGAAAGCTGCAAGACTTTTGTCTGCGATGGTTTGTTTGTTAACGCCAGGAGCTGTCTCTGAGCCTCCTGATGAAAAGACAGAAGTTCCCCTTCCTCCCTAAACCATACAGGGATTTTTGCCATTTGTCTAGATTTGACCCAAGCTTTAGTCAGAAACAAAATTTCCAGTGAAGACTTTTTAATTGCACACACAAAGATGTTCTGTCAAAGCCTTTGATGGCAGCTGAACAGCTTTACTTTCAACTCTTCCTTTCTACCGTCCCCTGACAGAGCTGCCATGCCAGTCCCAGTGGTGAAGCCTGCATAGCAAATAGACTTAAAATATGTTTTTCGAGAAATTATTTTCTCCCATCTTTTCATTTGCATATGCAGACAATCCTGTACTATAATGCCTCTTCTACAACATTATGTCATCTTAGACATAACCCACAAAGATATCCCTCCAGTCTCTGAGGTATCGTTTATCTAGCTTAGCCTTTAACACTGCTTAACAGTTTTAAGTTTCAATACCACAGTAATGCTATTTACTTCTCCTCCAAGGTCACAGAGAGGTTTACAAACTTGACCTTAGACTTACAACGGCCTCACGAAGCTGGAAATGCTGTCATAAGGGTTACAATCCCTAAGGAACTGACCAGAAAACTTGCATTTTACTACAAGAAGAGGGGATTGCCCTGCTCTTATGATCCACATGTGTAAATAAAAGGTGCTTGTTTGACACATCCTACTACCCAGCCCTCCCCAAGGTAGGATGAGCAAATGTGTTTAATCCTTTTGTATGCCTCAGAGCAATTAATCGCCAACTAGAAAACTCAATGGCAGAAATTCAGCAAGTCAAGCAAATTAACTGCAAAAAAGCAGAGGGGTTCTGCCAACTTATAAATAAGGAAGTCTGTAGTCTAGCTGAGAAAGAGGGCGGTGGGAGGAGAGCAATAGAATATTTGCATATTTCTCGCAACTCTGTCTCGCTAACCGCAGGCTCACAACAGCGCAATTTGCTGAGGCGCAGAAAATTTAGCTGAACACCGTTCAGATCATAAACTCAGAGGGAAAGGATTGTGTTAGACCTGTAACATGCACTGATCTACACGCAGGGTAATGAGGGACTGGGATACTTCGGGTAGCAAAAATCCCAATTAAAGCACCAGAGAAACATGGTCTCAAGAGCAAAAATTGCTTCAGCTACAAGGCGTCAGCATCAGTTCTCTGACAAACAGCTCTGGCCCCGCTGGACCTGTGCTGGTTCTGCGCAAGCAGCTCAGATGTCCCCATACTGTTGCCTTCAGCACCTTGACTCGATAACCCAAAGCGCTGCGGATGACAATACAGACATCTGAGCCAGCTTGAGTCCACACAGCTCATTAGCTTGCTCTCTTATTTTGATACAAATCAAACTAAATTGTTTGTAGGCTCAGGGTATCCTTAGAATCAAGAGAACTGCAGTCATTCAGTGCTGCATCCACAGTAACACGTTCTTGCACGAAATCGCCCCCTATGCGCACGTATCCTCAAAACAGCCAGCCTGCGCCACGGGGAAGGAACCAGTTGGTGTGCTACCAGATTTTCACCTCGGACAGACAGTAGTGCATGCAGGGCACATTTGTTCCATCATATATACAACTCTCCTGCAATAGGTCTAACAAATTATTTAAGGCGCTACAGTCCTGCGCTGCTAAGAGAACACGTGTTCATAGAGAATGCAGCAGCCATAGCGATGGCTTTTGGGGAAATCAGCTCCTCAGATCATAGAATCCTAGAATGGCCTAGGCTGGAAGGGACCTTAGAGATCATCTAGTCCAACCTCCCTGTCATGGGCAGGGACGCCTCTCAACTAGAGCCGGGGGCTGGAGCAGCTCTGCTACGAGGACAGGCTGCGGGAGCTGGGATTGTTCAGTCTGGAAAAGAGAAGACTTCGGGGGTACCTAATAGCTGCCTTCCAATACCTGAAGGGAACCTACAGGGAGGCTGGGGAGGGACTTTTTACAAGAGTGTCCACTGATAGGACAAGGGGAAATGGGGTTAAGTTGAAGGAGAATAGATTTAGATTGGACCTTAGGAAGAAATTCTTCAGTACAAGGGGGACAAGACTTTGGAATAAATTGCCCAGAGATGTTGTGGCTGCCACCTCCCTGGAGGTGTTCAAGGCCAGGTTGGACGGAGCCTTGAGTAGCCTGATCTAGTTGAGAGGCGTCCCTGCCCATGACAGGGAGGTCGGACTAGATGATCTTCTGGCACTCTTCTCCGACGTGTTCCCCTGCCACTGCACCCAAGGGAAAACCTGCTGTGATGAACCTTTCCTTGGCCCTGTCCAAACATCCCCTCTCCTGATGATGGAGCAAGATTGCTCCTCTTACTGCCCTAATCAAGCAAAATCCTCCGCAGGACCAGAAGGGATGTGAGCAGAGGAGGATCTTCTTTACTAACTGGCCACTGGCTCCTGGTATGTAGACAGAGAATCCCAGTTTCCAAGACCATCAAATCCAAAATCAATTCCTCACCCACCTCCTCCACTTTGGCAGCTAAGGGTTTGAGTTCCAAAAGCTAATTGAATTTTAATGTCTAGCTAAACTCTGTACAAAAAATCTCTTCCACTAACAGGTCCCATTTTATAAGTTACTCCTATCTCAATAAATCTAGACAAGTATAATTAGAGACTATTATTTATGGCATGAAAAAAATCAATATCATCATAAAACTGCTGACAGCACTCAGCTCTTAAGCAAGGACTGCAGAGCACGAGGTACTCCTTTTCCAAACTTATCGGTGTCTACTCTGCGCTGAGCTATGCCTTTTGCAAACCACTGGAGCATGTTAACATGTGTGGCCCATTTGCTCCGACAAGACGAAGACACACAAAGTCCGTTCCCTGGCTCTGCTACCACCCGAGCACATGACTGGAGGAAAACTCTCTGCTGCGTTACGCACAGAGGCAGGCTCCAAAAATGAAGTCTCAGCCCTTTCAACTAGGAGCTTTCATTCCACCCATGAAAACAACTGGCCCATATTTTATAAGTGTCTGTTGCTCTTGTAACTACCCTCATAAAGTAAGCAATTCCCTCTGCCTTTGAACTCTGGATGTTGATCCAATCAGGAAACTCAAACTCCCTTCAGAAGCAGTAAAGAACTTGCAGCTCTGCCACATAACTGTATACACTAAATATTTAATCCACACACAAAATGCATCCACAGAGGTTTACTTATGCCCAGAGAGAGAGGTGGAATTAGAACAAAAATGTGCTTTACTCTATAAAATAGACTTCTCCGTTCTCGGTGTAGGCCATCTCCCAGTTTTCTGGCAGAGGACCTAGGTTATCCTCGGCAGAAGGAGGTAGGTATTGAGGGAGGTTCTGAGATGGTTCCGTGGTGGGAACGTTGGTGTGTCTATCAATCGCGGACGGCGGGGCTGTCTCTCTTACAATACGTGTATTATGCTCGTCTTGGTCACCAGACTCTGCTGCAGAATAAACAAGCACAAATAAAATTGAAAAAAAAAATAAAAATCAGTCTTTTTCTCCTCCCATTTGCTTCCCCGGGGTTTATCCTTACGGTTTCCCTCCCCTCGCGTTTCAATTCGCAAGACACAGCAGCAGATGAACCGAGGGCAGAGACTCTGCAGTCTTTTTGCCAGCAGGGACGAGTTTGCTCTGCCCACACACGCTCTGCCAGCCAGACCCTCGCCAGCGCAAATCAGAAGCTGTGATCAGGCACTGGCTTCGCTCTAACAGGCGCTGCCGGGGTACCAAAGCCTCCCGAGATGTCTGAGCCCAGCGCTCGCTCACGCCCATGAGTTCAATGGGCTTGTGAGCAGGCTTACAGGTTCACTCCCGCAGTGCCAATTGTGGGGCAGGGATTAGGAGAACACAAACTTCCTGTTTGAAGAACGATCAAAAAGGGGAGATTTTTACAAGTACGGAAGAAGGTAGCCAGGAGCTCAAAGTCAACAAGCTAATGGTGAATGTCTGCAGAACAGCGGGACGTTTTAAATTAAAACTAAAAATAATTGCCAGCACTACACCACGTATCCACATGTTGCTGCTCACTAGTGCCTGTTCTAGCTGTCTGAGGAGGTTTATTACATGGCTCATCACTGCATCCTCCCAGTCAAAGTCACTCAGGAGCATGTTATGATGGCCCTTCTCCCTCTAAGAAAACATTTCTGATGCTTATATCCATGCAGTTTTGAGCTGTATCCATGCAACACTGCTGTTTATTCCCTCCATCCCCAATCACAGTAAATGCTCTCCACGAACCACGTTTGTGCCCCTAACTCCCTCACAGAGAGGTTTTGGCAAGAACAGACAAATTCTAAAATTAGCCCTGTGTCTACCAAAGGGATTTTCGCTGTTTGGTTCTTGCAGGTGTTGAAAAATCGATGGCAACGCTTCCAAATCACCCAAGATTATCAGTCTCCAGCACAGGCAGCAGGCAACACACCCCAGAAAACAGGTCCCAAGCAGTGGGACTGAAAGGGCTTTGCAGCCAAGACCCTCCCTTTGCTCTCCAGTCTGGATACCACAGACCTCCCTCAACTCACAGTCTTGTTTTTTGGGGCTGTTTACTGCAGCTCTTGCGGTATTTCTAGGCTGTGTGCTGCCATTACAAAAATACGAAGCACTGAAAATAATAAACTAGGAGAAGAGGAGAGAAGAAGATCCAGACTATACCAGCACCCTCAGCTGCCTGATTTTCTAGCCTTCCTGGCATTAGATATTTTTAGGTAGAAGCTGACAAGATAAAGAAGCATGAATGAATCATTGCCAGCCTCAGACTGCGAGTGTAAACATGCCAAAGTCTGGAAAACACAAGTCACCAAGAGGTCTCCTACGGAAGCAGGAGCAGTTTGCTATGGCTAGCACGCTTAAATGTGAAATTAGCATTAGGAATCACTTTGGTATATGAGAAATAACCCTTTTCTTGATTCTGTGCCCATTTAATGGAGGCAAGGGTCCAGGCTGTGATAACATTGTGACAAACGAACTGCATCTTCCAGTATTTCATCTTATGAAGGACAACAAGGAAGAGAAATGATGCTCGATTTAGTTCAGGGGTAGCAAACTGAGATGGGCAGCAAGGAAGTCAAGCAGCATCATCTCCCACCAACTTCCTCCCAAAATCACCTCCTGTGACAAGGGCTGAGGTTGCTGCCGTGTCACAACACGTGAGAAACTACCCTCAGTGCAAAAATTTGTAAAGGAGCTGGTAAGCAGGGACAGAAACTCCAGCCTGGGAGGAATTACACTCACCAGGAGTGATCTGGGTTGGAAACAGGTAACAGGTAATAGCTGAATACAACTCTCAAAGCCATTTGACAGCTTGGTCCAGGGAGGGTCAAAACTAAAGTTCAGTCTGAATCCTTTTAAAGCTCCATACAGATGTTAGAGCCACAACTTCAGCAGCGAAGAACTGGCATGACAGCTCCTACAACGCATCAGAGGCTGGCAAGGAAAACTGTCATGGTGGTAGGGAGCGACCAAAGGACAAAGCACCAAGTGCCAGTGATGGTGAGCACCCACAGGAAGGAGCTGTGAAAGGCTTGAAGGTGTGGATAATGCCGCTTGCTAAGTACCTAGCTCAAAGGGAAGCTTGAAGATGAATTCAGTGCTTGAAACTGAGCTGAGGAAGTAATGCTCCAAGCACTAACAGATACTAGGACTGTAGATATGGGGAAGAGCTCTTGCTCCTCAGAGCTTCGCAAACTTCCAGTTGATGTCTGTGGAAACTCAACAGATCTCCAATGGTATTTTGCTCTGAATCTTCCTGCACAGCACTTGACTTCAGATAGCAAAAGTTTCAGGTGATCTTTCAGCCAAGGCTCAACGGCAGTCACAGTGGGGCTGAGATCTGTGTTCCACAGGACACAAGGCCTTCTTGAAATAAAGAGCTTTCACCCATGCTTCAGACCTCATTCCTGCAGCAAGTACCATGGAGAAGAGCACCTAGCAGTTATACGTGATGGATCTCTCCAGTTGCAAGGAAGGGAAAAGAACAGCAACATTTTCAGAAAAGTACAATAATTAATTTAAAATGTAATCCTTATTGAGCCAGTTCATACCGTTTATAACTGTCAACATGGCTCAATTCTTTCTTGAACTTTCTGTGACTAACGGATTTGAACTTTTCCCCATTTTTTTCTCATCCAGTTCAAACCCATAAGGCCTCTTTAGGAGACACAATGGTGCATGTGATTGTCCACAACTGGACATCTCCCATTCAGGTGCTGTTGGTCAGCTCTGTCTGGGATTGACACCTTTTCAGGAAACCCATTAAAAACAAAACCTCCCCAAAATCCCCTTCCACAAACCTTCCCCATGTCTCCTAACTGACGGACCGCGACACTTTTGTTTTACCTGTGAAGCTACTGCTCATTTCAGGTACATCATCCTCTTCCTCATTCTCTGTATGCACTATGCCAGCATTTTGCATATCATTGTAAGACTTGGTTCGCTTTGGAGTCGACTGCTTGGAGCCAGACTGCAGGTTTTGCAAAGCATCGGTGGAAGTCACTTTCCCACTGAGGGGCTGGCTGGGAGGCTTGGGCGTTCCATAATAGTTACCTAGGCAATAGAAACACATTTACATCTTCAAAAGGGAACAGCTTATAGCAGCAAGATTTCTATTTTATTTCCTTTTCGGTTCCATCAAAATCTTGGCCTCTCTCCACCAGTAAGTAAATAGAAAAGCTAACACACGCCCGTCCCATTTGGGGCTGGGGGGACCATATTTCATTTCTGAGAGCAGACCTGGAAATATTTCTTGCCTTTTAAGTTATTCTTGTCGAGTCTAAAAGGAGCAGCAATGGTTGCATTGTTTAGGTGCACGGAGCGTACAAGGGCTAAAACAAAATGCAGTCATGGTGAATAGCAAAACTTCACCTCGTTACATCTGAATTTCAATTAGTAGCCTTTTTACATGTGTGCACCCACACAATGCTGTGGCAGATCTAGAGTGAGCCCTGCAGAAAATAAAAGATTCATGACTGCTATCACCCAGAGAAGTGATGAAAGGCTCGATGGCTTGCTTTAATACACAGGTTCTTTTAGGGTGGATGTTGCAATGCATTGAAGAAGGAAAAACTTCTCCCTCTAAAAGAAAACTTTGTCCAAGGAGAGAAAGGGAAAGGTACCACGTGGCACGGCTTTCTTCAGAGAGGAAACTCAGCAGTTGGGTCAACTTGGGTAGAAATGAAGACCTTAAAGCAAAACTTGAAGGGTCAAAGACAAACCTACAGTTACACAAACACAGAGCTCTTGGCAGCTGTCACCAGATGTGATGCAAATAGTACAAAGTGCTTGAGATGGTTCACTGTCATTTTAAAGTGACCATGGAAGAAATACAGATAAAGTGCCTGTTCACTGATGCCAAAACTGTTCCTACAGTAGCGTTTGACTTGCTCTGAAACATTCCACAGGAATCCCTGGTCTGGAATCCATTCCTGCAGCACAGGAATTACAGGAATTCCCACCTATAGCAAGTTGCATCTTTTACCTTTTTATACAATCAACTGTGATATACAGCAATTTTGCATAAGCCCTCCCCCTCTTCCAAGAATTATATTTCATTTGCCACCTTCAGATTCCAAGGGTGAACTTAAAATTCTCTCCGTACTCTCTGGCACAACGAAATATAAGGATGCTTTCCCACATAGCTTTGCGTAAATCCACGTGAAGGTGCAAGCATATAGCTCCAACTGTGGCAGCAGCACGACATTCTTCTCAAACATATAGATGTACATTTAATTACATTCTTCGTCTATCTCCATCAGCTACGTATACTCCAAAAGCCTTATTTTTCAAATTTTCTGGACAAAATTACATTAGATATTTAATATACATTCCCCAAAAGGTATACATGCCCCTTTATTATCCCTGTTACATTACATGCAAACAGCATGCCAAAGGCAGACTCTGAAAAGGCACACTCTGAAAAGGCACTTTAAAACTTCACTTGTGCTAAAAAATAATTTTTTTTTCCATTTATTTTCGTACATATGCATCTATACTTAGTTGCGGAAGCCAACAACAGTCCATTCTCCCTAGTGGAGAGTGACAAGAAGAGGGGAAATGGATTTAAATTGCGCCAGGGGAGGTTCAGGTTGGATATTAGGAAGAATTTCTGTGCTGAAAGGGTTGTCAGCCATTGGAACAGGCTGCCCAGGGAAGGGATTGAGTCACCGTCCCTGGAAGTGTTTAAGAGATGGGTGGGTGTTGCATTGGGGGACACAGTTTAGTAGGTTGATAGGCTGGGGCAAAGGCTGGACTTGATGATCTTCAAGGTCTCTTCCAGCTGAAGCTATTCTATGATTCTAACATGATTCACACACTGAGGTACGACGCTGAGTTTAAAGCTGGCCAGGCAGCTCTGCACTGACCTGCCCCACTGCCGTGCACAGCAGTCCCACCTCGCTCAGCACATCTGGGTGAGCTGCTCAGCCGTCCCACGCTTGAGGTTCAAAATGGAAGTACTAGTTGCTGACCTCAACTCCTGTTCAGCCAACTGAATTCCCATCCCCGTTAGATCACTTCAGCTCTTGCAACCCCAAAGCGGTGCCTCTTGCCAGTTTTAGGGCAAGGCCACAGGGATTGCACGTGTCCTAACACTCGCAGATCTCAACCTGCAACTCTGGAAGGTCTCTGCACACATCAGGAGCCGGGGACACCAGGGATCACCCTGCCTCAGGCTGGCAGAGTCCATCTGGGAAGACCACTTTGGACACACATTGCTATCTTTCCCCTGCAAGGGCAGAAGAAAGTCTTTCTTGCAAAGCTGAGGCTGGAGCAGTGGGAGGAGCTACTAGCTCCACGCTTTTACAGCTGGAGTACTAGGACAGCAACACGTGCAGGTTTGTCTTAACAAGGTGTGTTCGAGCCTGTGTACAACGTCGTGGATCCAGCTCCATAGGAGCAGCAACACTCCACAACGCTTTCATCTTCTGTTCGTCATTTCAGAATCTTAAATGCACATTGATGCATAATTTATAGGGAGAAGGAAATTACTTCGTCTGGAAAGAGCATCTAATGGGGATGGAGGCTCCTCAAGCAGGTTGCAGTCTCTGCTAGAGAAATGATTCTTATGCTCTATATACGGCAGGATTGTTTTATACTAAAAAAAGGAGGAATTTGGGGCAGGGAGTGCAAAGGGAAAATACAAAAGCGGGTGGGCAGAAAAAGGATAATCTACTCTGTTGCCATCTTATCCTTTTTGGCATTTCTCCCTGCTGCTACTTTGGGGTTTGGGTTTGTTTGTCCAGACAAGATGTGTGTTTTCTAAGGATGTTAACCACTAAAAAGAGATACACGTGTGCCATGTACGCGAAAACAGCTTTTATCTATGGCACTGCATATAATTATTTTGTGCAAAATTCATTTCACGCCTGTTGTAAATAGTCAAATCTTTTTGGGATGGAAGCAACAAAGTGAATTAAGTGGCTATAAAGGTAGAGTTAATGTGGATTTTTGTTTACCCTGGACAAGAACATGGCACAGATATTAGCACCCCTCCTCCAATTACAGAGAAATACATGATCATATCTTTCAGCTTTGCTGCTTTCCAATTCCCCCAGCAGTAAGGAGGGCTGGAGTTCCTCACAGTTCAATGAAAGCTGTTCCTCAGCAGAAAAACAGACTTCTCTAAAGTATTTCAGATTTGCTTACACTGAAGTAATCAGTCACTTCTCAAACCAGCCATGGCTCCTGCTATTACTATTAGTGAGCAATTATTTTCTACCAGCACAGTGTATTGCCTTAGGGTAAGCCTACAAGTATATGTGAACACATAGAAAAAGCAAATATGAATTTGTAACTGAGCATGGCCCTGCATGTGTGGGGTTTGTTTTTGCAGGCTATGGGAGATGCAGTCATTGGGGCTGAACTTTTCTTTTTCCTCCACAGGAGGCAGATTCAGCCTGGAATTCAAGGAAACCACAGCTCTTCCTTCAGATTCACACAAGAACATACAGGTTTGGAAAATAACCCAGCTCATGATGGAATACTGCAAAGGAAAGCTCCAACCCAGCTTCCAGGTGACACGGAGAATGAGAGAAAATTGAAATACTCTCTTTTCCTCATGTTTGCTGGATGTGGTCAGACCTATTTCCCTTCTCTAAGCAGTTGTGTTTTTTTTTTTGAAAGCATGGAACATGAGCCCAGGCAAGGGGACAAGCACACTCTTAGGAGTGACTGGCACTTAAAATTATCATCAAAACTCATGTTTAATCCTAGAAATTAGAAAGAGAAAATATTTACCCTGTGACTCAGCAATCCAAACGTGCATCATTAACAACTGACAGTGAACAGCCAAGCAAGAATTTTACAACACTCAGTCTCAACATTATTTGTTCAAATTAAATCTGCCAGTGTTTATGAAAAAACATACATTTTAAAATATGCTTTAACAGTGTTTTGTGAGCCACTTGTAAGCCTAAAGAAGGGGCTAACTTCATAGCCAGTGTAATTTGTACTGAATATCCAATCAGCTCTAATTATTAACAGCATGTTACATGTGCATACACAAGCATCTGTCATCCCAGAGGATCCCAAAACATTTTCTAAGTCAGTACAGTAGTTACGGCAGGACTCCCCGGGGTGCTGAGCTCAGGTGAAGCTCTGCAAAACTTCTGAAGCCCGTGGCCTGAACACGATGTCTCAAAGCTGGAAAAGAGCAGCCTGTCTCCCAGACAAAGGAGATCTCTTGATCAAGAGAGCAGGAAAACCTCTACTCTTCTGTGAAAATGCCAGTCCTGAAGCAGCCAGCATGGCAGAAACAGCACCCTCCCACGCCTGATACCTCTGGGAACCAGGCTGCTAAGCCTTACCCTCTTCTCAATCACATCTGGATGCTGCCCACAGCCCCTGAATTAATAGCGAATAACAACGCAGTCACTCAGCAGACGCACATACCATTAGCTCAATTCCTTGTCATTTCCTTTCACTAACCTTTATTTTATTCAGTCTCTTGGTGCTTAAAACTTATTTAGCCACAACCTAAGTTTGACGGCAGCTTTCGCAGCCAAAGCCATGAACTTAATCCACATACTCTAAAGAGCCACTCAGGAGAGTGCACAAAAATAATAATAATGAAAAAAAAAACCCAAACACAATAGCTATTTGGAATGGATTTCTTTTCATCTCCTATCTCTAAGTGTCAGCAGCTTACACATTTTAGCACCACGCACAGTAATTAGGCTTTGGTAACAGCTAATCACAACAATAAGACAAGTTCTCATCATCACAGCACTTCCTCTGCCAATCCAAGCAGTGATCATCATCAATGAAAGCAATCTACAGCAGCTTTTACTCTGTCCTGCAGCTTACGAATTGGCGATGCTGTTAGCCAAGAGAAGCTTATTTTTAGCTTTTAGAGATCTAGTAGTAATGGAAAGTTTGTCCTGTATTCCAAAATAACTCAACATCCTTATTAAATATTTCCCTGATGGGCAGTAAATTCACAGATGACCTTAAGTTGTTTATGTGACCTGGAATTTAAATGCAATTCACAAAAATACACTCATTAGCTACTCTTAATAACTACGAATCTAATCCATAAAAACTTTTGCCAA